GCAGATGCCTTATGATAGTGAGGTTTAGGTTACAAGTGAGTTGTATTCTATTCATCCAGCTACGTTGGTGTACATCACATGTAACTTGTAGTGTCAATTAGTTATAGCTTATAAATTATAATCAGTTAACACCATATCCTCATGCACGTGTGGTTAAAACTGTGGGCAGTCCATGTTTTGTAAGTCAAGGGATGGCAATGTTTAATGCTTCAGCAATTTTGCCATTTGTGCCCCCACATGCACTGATGCAAGTATGCAGTTCTGTTTTAATAGTGTTAACTGTGTCAATAAGGATCTTGTGTAGTTGTGCCTTGTTTGTAGATTGAATTACTTAAATATCCGGCAATTATGTCTTGACTCTTGATGTTTTTTTTCTTTCATTATGCTTTGACGTTTGAGTTTTTTCCCTAAAATAATGTTAAATAAAAAAAATATTTATCAAAATAACGTATTTTCCAAAATACTGCTGCTCTACACGACTACACCCTAGTTAAGAGAACTAATGCACGTAACAACTAACACATGTAACAAGAAGGCAAAAAATGATCTAGGCGTCCACCAAAATAAAATCCATGTTTATAAAGTGAAATAATTTTTTATTTATACTCTGATTATTACAAGTTTAAAACAAATACTCCGTATATCAATATTCATATTTTTTTATTATCTTTCATACGACATCAATATTGAATATATAAAAATAAAAAATAATTAACACTTTAAAAATATTAATTTGTATAAGTGTTATATCTTTTTTTTTGTACTTCAATTGTTACAAGAATATATATCAAAATTGATAACTCTATTATTTTTCATAAGACACAAATTTTGAATATATAAAAATAAAAAAATAAGTTCTATTAATTGTGCAGTTTATGATTGTTTTTTACTATGTACACTATTAATTTGGAGTGATAGCTTACAATAAAATTGCACAAATTTTAGCACAAAAAATAAATAATAAATAAAAGTGATGGAGTTTGTGCAGTTTTATTGTAAGCTATCACTCCAAATTAGAGAATGTCAAACTCTTACTCTTCATTATACTTAACACGAAACGTTAGATATAAAAAAGTTTGCTAATCAAGCTTTGTGTAATGACATAAGGTCATAAGTAGATTTAAAGATTGAATATTGCACACTTAAAAAGATTTTTTCATTCAGATGAAAACGTAGTTAGTTTTGGGGGAGGAGGTACGTTAACTGAATTGCGCTTAAATATCTATAGCATTGTCCCAAACTCCCACATATAGGCAAGTCATCGTAGAATGAAGTATAATAGTACTCTAAAAATGTTTTATAAGTAGGAAGTTTAAAATGAGGATCAAGAACGAAAGCAATAACATATATATAGGCGCAATGTAGGCATAATATTTTTAAAACTTTTCTTTGATGTAATCACAAAAATAATGAACATACCCGGTTTGGAAAAATTCTTGAAAAACACGGGCAAGATTAACATCAATAAAATAAGGTTAGCGGTAGATGTACAAAATACGAAAAAGATTGAGTAGCATTATTATGAAAATAAACACGCTGCAAATTTTTGTTACAAAAAAACAGGGAAATAATCCTTATATCTAAGAAGCACATAAATTAATTTACAAGTACTACTCCAACGAATAGACAAATCTTTACTAAAATAAAAACACTTAACACGTTTAGATTTCAAATAAGCACAACATTGAAGTTTAAGTTGTGTACTACCCCAAATAAGTCTAATACCCTCTTAACTTTGTGCATCACGTTTCCTAAAGCGGTGAAGCTGTCTTTCACACATAAATTAATAACATAACATGAACAACGTTGATGAAAAATATACTCATCAAATCAAAATAGAAGAACCATATAATTCACACAATTTAGTTATGTGAGCAGTTTTAGTAGTAGCATTATCAAGACCTATATCAAACATCTTATCAAACAAATTATATTCAACTAAAATACGTTCCATGATAATATAAATATTATCACCGGTGTGTTTTTTATTAAATTCTTGAAAAGCGATAACTCATTTATGCATTTGCCAATTATCATCAATAAAATGTGCAATCACACCCAAATAATACAAGTGATGATATGTATCTTCTCATATATCACCACAAATAGTCACACGACCTTGAAAGTTTGTGGAAAAATTAATTAATTTGTCCTTTTCCAAAGTATACTGTTTAATAATTTCTTTTTTAATTGTTTTGCAGCTATAGTTTTGAAATTCCGAATTGAAAAAACCTTGAGCATAAGCAGGTAAAGCGAGACTTTCAAAAAAATAAAAGACAAATTTTCTTCACACATTAATTCAAACATAGCTTTCAAATGTTGATCATCATTATATACAAAAATTTTATAGGGTTGATCATTTGCAAACCACAATGTTTGTGTTTTTGTGTCCTTGACCTTCGATTTAACCACCTCCGTGGGATGCCTCGCGTTCAAGTGCCTTTGGACGGTGTCATAGCTCTCTGACACCCCCATTCATAATACTTGATCACAATGATTTACAATACTCTACAGTCATAATTGGTTTCCCGATCATCACGGCTTTGGTACGAAGATGGTTGCCCAACGTGTTGTTTACCTTTGAATCGTGAAGAAGGATGGCCTTTCCCAATCTCATTCGTATGGTTGCATTGGAGATTACCTATATCAATATATATCCTGCCGACATGTTGAAATGTAACAAATATGCAAATGTAACAAATATAAAAATGTGACTAACATCAAAATGCAACTAATATTAAAATGAGATTAATAGTGATGTGTTGTAAGTAATATGATAATGTGGCTAATAATAAATTGTAACAATTATTAAAATGTAATAAATATGAAAATGTCATTAATATTAAAACACAAGTAATATTAAAATGTGACCATTATTAAAATGCAAGTAATTTTCGAATGTGACTAATATTAAAATGATAATGTGAGTAATATTAAAATGTAACTAATATGATAAATGTGGCTAATATTAAATTGTAATAACCATTAAGCTGTAATAAATATTAAAATATGAGTAATACTAAAATGCAGCAAATATTAAAATGTGACTAATATTAAAATGAAATTAATATTTCGTACATAGTGTATATATTATATTATATTATATTATATTATATTATATTATATTATATTATATTATATTATATTATATTATATTATATTATATTATATTATATTATATTATATTATATTATATTATATTATATTATATTATATTATATTATATTATATTATATTATATTATATTATATTATATTATATTATATTATATTATATTATATTATATTATATTATATTATATTATATTATATTATATTATATTATATTATATTATATTATATTATATTATATTATATTATATTATATTATATTATATTATATTATATTATATTATATTATATTATATTATATTATATTATATTATATTATATTATATTATATTATATTATATTATATTATATTATATTATATTATATTATATTATATTATATTATATTATATTATATTATATTATATTATATTATATTATATATATATCATATATAGTATGTATTTATATTTATATAGTATATAATTATTGGTAAGGGCATAATTGTTACTGCGTACATTTTATGATTGGTGGGGGGGGGGAGGTTTTATTCATAAAGGCATTCAATGGCTAAAGTGGAGGTTTATGTGTATTCCGATTCTCCTAAGACTAAGGGAGGTTTGGGTTTCAAGACACTAAAAGAGTTTAATATTGATATGCTAGGTAAGCAAGTTTGGTGATTAATAATAGAATTTGATGCTTTGGTTAGTAAGTTTATTAAAGCTAGATAATTTCCAGATTCATCTTTGAGGAAGCTAAGATAGGGTCAATCCCTCTTATATTTGGTGTAACTTGTTTACATCTCACAAAGTGGTGTGCAAGGGGACTCGATGTAGAGTTGGGCATGAGATGTCTATATCCGTGTGGAAGGAGTCGTGGCTGCCTGTTTAGGTTGCAGAGAGAGTTCAATCAATGAAATCGGAAAGAATAACGAATATGAAGGTGACTACCCTGCTATCTGAAACTGAAAAGGAATGGAACATTCCTCGTGTTAAAAAACTATTTACTAGGTGAAAGGTTTTTATAGAAGTCTTAGAGGTGAGGTTGAACCAATAGATTGGTATTGTTGGACATGAGTGTGGAGCATGGAAATCCCACCGAAGGTGAAACTATTTTTTGAGGGGTGCTCCCTACTACGGATAGATTGACAATGACAAAGTGCACTTGTTGCGTGACTGCTCTTTAGCTCAAGGAATCTAGATCAAATTTGGCCTGATTTTCTCTTCACGAAGTGTGACTGATTTAGTAAGGTGGGTAGAGTAGGTTTTAAGCAAGTTATCGCATGAGAATATCTGCAGATTCATTATGTTGTTGTGGATTTTGTGGAAGCAAAGAAATGAGATTGTTTGAAAGGGGAGTCAGGGATCTGTTGCGGGTCTGTGGACCACTATAGAGGCTTTGCTACGAAGGTGGTGTGTTAATATGAACAAATTTATCCTTTTATTTTTGCTTTCCAGTCATAAGAATGTCTAAAAATATAGTTAATCATATTTAGGAAAACTCAATATCTTTTAATCATATCACGGAAAATTTCTCAAGTTCAAAATAAGAGTTATCAATTAGGCTCCAAGTAAGACTGAAATTGTTTTAGATAATCATTTTAGCTATTTGCATATAATTTTTCTTTATTTTATTAATAAACATGTATTTTAAATACTCCATATAATTTTAGCATTTCATAGACTCTACATTTGTCCTAATTCTTAATGATTTAATCACATGCACTCTCTGCACTCTAACTCAAAATGACTTGCAAAGTCTTAATTACTTTTAATTTACATAGTTCTATTTTATTTACTGATTTAGCATATCAATTTTTATTAGGATGTTATTTTAATTTTAATTTGTTGGTAACCAACCTTAAAATCAGTAGATTGAAATTTAATTTCGGATGGATGGGGCAAAGTAGAAGAAATTTAAAAGAAACGAATTGAAGCTAGTAGAAGAATCTAGGTTCCATGCGATTTTACTGGTAGAAAGATGTCAGTCAGATACAAACTCAAAATTCCTACCTAAGACGCGTCCCTTTTCTTATCTTTCTTTCCAATCCCGTTGTTCATTTTCTGATCTATATATGGTTGCTTCTCGACCCATTCGATCTTATTCAGCATTTCAAATTTAAAGTTTCGTTCTCTAAGGTAGCTCTTCCATTTTTCTTCAAAACAATCTGCGTTAATCGTTGCGCTGCTAATAATTCCATTGGTTTTTGTCCTCCACGATTGGTCAGCAGGCAAAAAAAAACTAGAACCTTCATGAAAAAGCCGGTTATACAAAGATTATAGACGAACTGTTTGGAAAGTTTTATCTAACATTGAAAAGCTGTATATTCATAATTCATGTATACAGCCCCAAATTTATAGTCAGTCGTGTTTTTTGTAGCGAGAGAGAAAATTGGTATTTCGCCTTGATTCTTTCTTGCCCTACCACACCAACGATAGAGATCGATTTCTTCGAGAATTATAATTTTGTGGTTTACTGATTTCTCATACTTTTGGTTCAGAGAAAACAAAATGCAGAGGGAGAGAGGAGGGGTTCATGAGGAGAAGGACACCAGCACCTCGATTGGGGAAAAGATTTCCAGCATTCTCGGAAGCTTGTTTGGGCCGAAAGGGCCAGTTTCAAAAGATACCCCTCCTGATGATTTACCAAGAGCCAGCAAGCCCACTGGACCCGTCATTGAGGAGCTAGAGAGCAATGAAGATGGTGGTGGCGGTGAAGTAGAAAAATGTGGAGAAGGGTGTCATAACCAGCAGCAGAGTAGTGATTGGGCCAACGGAAACCCACTTGTTGAGCACCCTGAGGATCAAGCTGATGGTAATTTGTTTATGGTTATGCATATATTATTGTTTCAGGAGAAATATAGATCACTTTAACTTTTGGTCTTCAATTTTCATTTCTTTCCGTCCCTTCGATTATTCTCAGCATAAGTGATAAAGATGACAAGAAATCCATTAATGTGCACAAACCAATAAAAATGAAAGGCAGGGACTAAAAAAGCCAATGAACTAATATTCCTGGGACCAAAAATACAAGAATGTCTTCTCAGTATTAGGCATGCAAGAAGATATACGGAGTATTTGTTTTCCAAATCTCCTGTTACATAGAATTATTACTGTGTTCTTTGGTTTCAATAGATTATCATAACGAGACCAGTAACATGAGGAAATCTCCTTCATTTGGGAGCATTGAAGGAAATAGAAGTATGAGCTACAGAAGAGTAACACATGGCGGCATAAATGGCGCCTATTTAACGGCTACTACAAGCCGCCTGACTGGAAGTGATGGAGTAAGAAAAACTGCTCTTTTGAATTTGTGTTAGGAATTTCTGGTGCACGCCCCTTTCAACTGTTTTTACATTGTAGAGTAGTGTTTTCATATGACTAATGTGCTCACAATCTTGCATTATAATAATGAATTTATAATACTAACTAAATCTAATTATAAAACAAATAATAATGGTGATGATTTTTTGTGTGCAACGGAATGAAATGATGATAAAGCTAGAACTAATGTTATGCTTGTTTGAAAAAACAGAGGGTGTGGGAGGAAACCAAACATGCAGATACTACAACGGGCGAAGCAACACACAGAATCTCTAGAGGAATCCATGATAAGGTATTTCGCCCATCTTGTCCTATATGTATATTTGTGTATACAAAAAAAGATCTAAGAAGAGTGTGCTTATTAGTTGGAGTTTTTGACGTTATTAAACACCATTGAAGTGTGCTTGGGTATGACTGGATGATTGATAAGGTTACCTAAATCCTAATGGCCTAATGGTATGTTAAGGGGGTTTGGGTGTGGTGAGGTGAGCTCGAGTTGTCTTTTGTTATGAGTATGTTATCTTTGGAAGTCATTACAAAGACTGTATTTCAATTTTTAATACCCGATTTATATTTATTCTTATTATTAAATTTTTGTTGTTGTTATTATTATTATTATTATTATTGTTATTATTAGTATTCTAAACTTGTAGCTATGATTGTAATATTTCTGCAATAAAATCATAAGCAATTTTTACAAATTTAAGTGAATACTCCCCTTAAGAAACGAAATATGTGTATTGACTTTGAGGCCTTTACAAATTGCAACAAATGTAGTTGAAGCAAATCAAGCAATATTTTACCAGATATGCCACATTGGGACAAGTAGTCATCCCTTACTATTTGTATTTTATTAAAAATATCATCTAACAGTTTGCACTACTTTTATATAAATACCAGTGGTGAAGTCATGTCATCATAATTGACCTAACTAAATTGGGTTCCAAGTGGGTATAAATTTCACTGATTCAAGTTTTGGGAGTGGCTTGTTGTCAAAATAACAACGGGGCTTTGCCCCTATATACCCTCGTGGTGCTATCCTTCCCCATACTTATACCCTAGTGGTGCTATTTAAATTGGTGTAGTCTTTAATAGATGGAATTCCCAGCTCCCAAGTCCTCTATTTAAATTGGTGTAGTCTATTACTATAAGCCCTGTTTTTTACCATGATACTATAAGCCCTGTTTTTTACCATGATACTAAAATTTACTTTGATTGATTGATCAAAATGCTTGTTGGATGAAGTAGGTGCTTTCAGCTGCTGTAGCAGTTTAGCATTAACCCTTTGAGACAGATGTGCTGAAGTAAAAAAGTTTTTGTTTCTCTAGGGACACACAGTAACAAGGAAGCTTAAATCAGATGGCAAGGTCGATTCTATGGAGACTTTGCACAATTTAGGGGAAGGTATATTTTTTTCATGATGTGTGAAGGTTTTTCCCTTAATAAACACTGAATGAAGAAAGTAAGGTTTTTAATACAGATGACTTAGTTGGTTTTGAACGGGATTGGAAGACTAACGCCGGCAGAGATTGGAAGTATAATGCTCGCAATGGAGGACCAATCACCAGCAGCTGGTTGACAAATTGGGACTCTCCCTTTAGAGAAGGCTCTGTTGGTCCAAGGTCTGACCTTGACACCATAGGGCGCCAATCTGGAGCCAGGGCAAAAAAGGTTATCACTATTAACATCGAGTGAATTCTAGTTTCTTTTTAACACCATACAAGTACCAAGAGCTGGGTATGTCCTGGTGATGATTCAAACAATCAATTCAAGTACTCGGTTTTGGTTGCCATGTTTGTGTACAGTAGCGACAGTCTCACATTTGGCTTTTTTATTTTACTTTTCTCCTCCTAAGCATAGATTGTCATTTTATAGCTTTGTCATGTAATATAGGTGTGCTTAAGAAGGATTAAAACCAGGTTTGGCAGTTGTATAAAAGAAAGAGAAAAGGCAAGAGAAAAAAAAGGAATTGCATTTCTGACCAAAAAGTCTTGACCCCTAGACTACATAAACATTAACAATGACTTCTAGAATACCATGTAGAAAGGGGGGGAAATGCCTAGCTTGATACAAAACAAGGGCAAGATTCAGGTACAATGGCGGTCTTTAAATCTGATATCTTAGAGAGCTTTTGGATGATTGTTTCAATGGTTGGCCTTTGACTAGGAGATTCATGAGTGCAAAGTAGAGTCATCTTTCCTAACATAACAGCCTCATACCTCTGCTCCTTGATAATTTGAATGGCTGACCAGTCTTTCCAGTGATGATCTGAAATGTGATGATACCAAAAGCGTATATGTCACTCTTTTCAGAGAAGCGGCCAGTGGTTGTATAATCGGGAGCCAAGTACCCCATTGCAGCGCTTCCCTCTAGGGTTGAGTAGGGTTGGACTAGGGTCGGGTCCGGGCCGGGCCGGGCCGCCGGTTTTGAATAGTTGGGCCCGGGACCGGCCCGGGTATCTACCGGGTCCGGGCCGGGCCTCGGGTTTGGTTTTTTTTTTTTTTGCTTTCCTAAGTATCTGACGTGCTCTTTGTCACGGTGCGTCAAAATAAATTCAATACTAGCACTAATACGTAGTATAGTGAAGTAGAGTTCGTATCCACAGGGAAAGGAATAATTCTCTTTTTATGAACTAGTAAATAAAAGGAGGGTTTTGGTATTGTTGGAATTTAATTAATTAAATACTAAGATGAAGGACTTATATGAGATTTAATTAAGATAAAAAGGACTTGGCATTGCTACTTTCCACTTGTTGATATATTTTAGTCGATCATTGTTATATCTATAACTTATCCACTCTCGAATACTCAATCGAGGAGTATATCCAATTCATCGAGGGTAGTTATTAACAACGACCGTTCATTAATAACCCTTACTATTAGTCAAGTATAGAACACCGCTATATACCGACTTGATAGTAGCATTTAATCTCTTAACTCCTTGATGAAATCAATTGAGATTGATAACCTCAACACAACGGTTTCGGTTTAACCAACAAAATTAATCCCTCTTAAGTTTATTAATCACGACCGTGCATTAATAAACCGAAGTTACTTACTTGTGAAACCATCAACGATTAACCATCGGTTCGTTGAACGTTTCTAGTAGTAATTAATGTTGAGATGTTAACTAATTGTCATTTTAGCAACCCTCCCCAACATTAACATAGAGATAGATTAAGGGAAGAATTAATATTCAAGAAAGAAGATTAAATATCAATAATCTTACTATCACTAATGTCAAGATGTTATCTAATTGTCATCTTAGTAACACTCCCCAACATTAATATATAGAGGAAGAAAATAAATACTACTATAACTAATGTCGAGATGTTAACTAATTGTCATCTTAGCAACACTCCCCAACATTAATATATAGATAGATTAAGAGAATAATTAATATTCAAGGGAAGAAGTTAAGAAAATAACTCACAACTTTAATAATCAACAAGCTTCAAGAGCAACACCAAGAAATGGAAGTTTAGCTCCTCATTTGGAGACTAAACATGCTATAAAAATATAAAAGAAATACTATTCTAAACTGAGCTTAAGAGTATGGAAGAAGGGATGATCCTTTGTGAAGGAAAATGGGGTTATTTATAGGTGTTTTCAATACCCTGGGGCATTGACCCGCCCGGGTAAAAGGACATACCCGACCGGGTCAACGTCAAAATCAAATATTTCCCACGTTCTGGCGATCTTCGGCATGTTCCGGTGTTCCGGGTCACATCTGACCCGACCGGGTCAAATAAGTGACCCGCCCGGGTCTAGTGACTTTCTCAGCAGTTTCTGATTCTTTGTCATGCCCGACCGGGTGAAGTATTGTACCCGGTCGGGTTTTTGCTTCTGGGCAGCCAAATCTTATTTTTCTTCACTTCAAAGTCCTCCTTTTCAACACCCTAATTCCTAACTCTACTTTACAACTTACAAAAGAAGATTAAAATACAATTACAACTAAAATCACACAAATGTTTACAAACTAAATAAAACGGTAAACAAACCACACAAATCAAACATAAAAACATACACTTATGCACTACTAATAAGTGCATATCAGTATCCCTGACCCCACCCCCCCATCCCAAACCCCTCCTAAACATCAAGCCCAACCCCGGTGGAACCCAAAAAAATGAAAAAACAAAAAGAATCAATTTGGCCCGAACCGGGTTAGGGCCCGGCCGGGTCTCATTTTGAAGGAACCGTGCCCGGAACCGTCTCCCCCTCGGGCTGGGTCAAAGCCCGGCACCCGGACCGGTGAACCGGGCCGGTCACGGGCCCGCACAGCAGCGGGCCGGGTTGGTTCACAGGCCGGGTGCCCCGACCCGAGTCCACCACTAGGGTTGAGAAGACAACGTCTTCTACGAACAAGATGGTGCACATTCAACAATTTTGATTAGGAAGAGTCGTAATTAACTCAGACTTTTTTTTGGAGCAGCATGTTTTGCAGTTGACACATTATCTTTAAATTTTTCAAAATTTTTAATCATTTCCCAAACATGGTCAAATTTAAAACTTTTAGAATATTTTGGATCTTGCATAAATATCTTTTTCATAAAAATAAATTTGTATTACATAAATGAAAATAAATTATTGAAAATTAAAATTATATAATACTCACAATATCTTTTTCAGAAGCATCACTTGGATTTAAATTCTCAACTTGCTTCACACACCCATTTAGCTCCCGTGCCTGAGTAGTTATTGTATCCGTTCTTGAATGCAGTGAACGTGTATTACGTTGCTCGTGATTTTGTTGACGCGGTTCATTGTTATGTCTAAGGGGGTGTTTGGAACTGATTCTGCTTCTGCTTCTTTTTTAAAAGCAGAAGCAGAATCAGAATCAGTTTTCAGAAGCTGATACCTCCCAACTTTTAAAAAAACTGATTTTGAGAGTAAATTAGAGCTTCAGAAGTGCTTCTGGAATTTCACCCAATCCAGCTTCTGCTTCTGCTCCCTGAAGGAGCAGAATCAGTTTTGAGAATCAGATCCAAACACCCCCTAAATACACTTGACACAACAATGCGTCTTCAACTATGGTGTAACTACTTGATCTTAAAGTCATTTTGCTCGTAAGGGAAAAAAGATAAAATATAGATTGTGAGATAGAGGTTTTGATGAAGTGTGATAATTCATGACATGGGTATTTATAGAATGTAGAGGTTGATAAGGAATCTTTATGTTAGCCGTTGGATGGATTTCTTTTTATTCACAACCATTGGATTCTTATCTTTTAAGATAAGTGTGCTTGTCACGCATTACTTACAATGTCAGACACAAGTTGGTAGAGAATCTTTATATTAGCCGTTGAATGGATATGGATGGATTCCTATCTTTTAAGATAAGCGTACTAGTCACGCATTACTTACAATGTCAGACACAAGTTGGTAGGGAATCTTTATGTTAGCCGTTGGATGGATTTCCTTTTCTTCACAACCACCGGATTATTATCTTTTGAGATAAGCATACTTGTCACGCATTACTTACAATGTCAGACACAAGTTGGTAGGGAATCATTACGTTACCCGTTGGATGGATTTCCTTTTCTTCACAACCATCAGATTCTTATCTTTTGAGATAAGCATACTTGTCACACACTACTTACAATGTCAGATACAAGTTGGTAGGGAATCATTACGTTACCCGTTGGATGGATTTCCTTTTCTTCACAACCATCAGATTCTTATCTTTCTCTATAAGCGTACTACTATTAGTATGAACAAATTAACACATCAGATGGATCACCACATAAAAAAATGAACTTCAATATTGGAGCATCCTCTTACATATCATCGTCTTCTTCTTCTTCTTCTTCTTCTTCTTCAGATAATGGTGCTTCAGCGATGAACACTATAGCACAACTTGATGAAGAAAAAGAAGAAATCATGATGGTGGCACTAAAAAACAATAACATGACAATAAGTCACTGTATAGGTGAGCTGAATAGGCCTATCAGGCACGGTGGATCCGTTCATGGTCATGTGGTGATAGACCGTGATCGGGAAATGGGAGACTATAATTTGTTCATGGACTATTTCTCTCCAAATCCACGTTATGGAGAAGCATTATTTCGTCGACGATATCGTATGTCGCAAGATTTGTTTCTACAAATAGTTGGTGTTGTTACAAATCATGACAACTATTTCCACCAACGAAGAAATGCAACAGGTAGAATCGGATCATCAGCTTTACAAAAAATAACAGCTGTATTTCGTATGTTGGCATATGGTGTGCCTGCGGATTCAATAGACGAGTACGTTAAAATAGGTGAGTCTACAGCAATTGAAATGTATGAAAAGGTTTTGTCGATCTATTGTCCAAATATATGGAGGACACTATCTAAGAAGACCTAATGACAATGACATAGCGAGACTTCTTGATATTGGAAAACAACGTGGATTTCCAGGAATGTTGGGGAGTCTTGATTGCATGCATTGGAAATGCAAAATTTGTCCAATAGCATGGGCAGGACAATATTTTGGTCGTAGTGGCTCACCAACTATCATACTTGAAGTTGTGGCAGATTATGATCTTTGGATATGGCACACATATTTTGGAATGCCAGGTAGTAATAATGATGTTAATGTTTTAGAGGTATCCAATCTTTTTTCAGATTTAGCACAAGGAATTGCTCCTCCCGCTCATTATATTATTCAAGGAAAAGAGTATAATGTCGGTTACTATTTAGCGGATGGTATATATCCAAAGTGATCAACACTTGTTCAAACAATTCATCAACCACAAGGTAAAAAAAAGAAATATTTTGCCATGAGACAAGAAGCATGTGGAAAAGATGTTGAACGTGCCTTTGGAGTATTGCAATCCTGATTTGCAATTATCGCGGGACCTTCACGTTTTTGGGAGAAAAAAAGTCTTTCACGACATAATGAGTGTATGTATTATTATGCATAATATGATAATAGAGAATGAACATGATATACATGCATCAGTTGAAGATGTGAGAGATACACCAGTTCC